GTTCAACATCCTAAACTGGAAACAATGTATTAAAAATACATCTGCGCCAGCCTAATAGATGACGAAGGGGTGCGAGGCTGGTCAACAGATAGAATCTGTTTACCCCTTAAGTCTTTGCCTAGGAGGCCTTCTACAAGACAGCAGCCGGATGCATGTAACATCTGCCCAAGATGAGTATTTTTATCGAGACACCATCTCTAGCCTTTACTCAACCAAGAGCCCCAAGGCAGGGGGTGTTTTATGTCGGAGTTTGCATCTCCTAGCCTTTGCCTAAAAAGGCATATCCTACAAGGCAGCAGGACATGAAGCAGATTGTACTGGGTTACATGTTACCAGTAGCAGGATAAACCTGACTTGACCTGACCTGAAAGGTAATTCAATTCATGCTTTGATCTTACTAAAATCCTTTATAAGTAATCTTCTACAACAGATTTCTCCATCATTGCAATTTTGACAACTCTTTTTACAATCATAAAACTGATTCTTAGATTTAAATAAATATATCTAAAAATATAATAATAATAAATATAAATAAATAAATATAAAATATAAAAATAAATCTGATATTAGATCTGATAAATAATCTGATATTAGACTTAAAATAAAAGTTACATATGTTAAAAAAATTACTTTTTGTAATGTATTAAATTTTTTTTAAGTTACATATGTTAAAAAAATTACTTTTTGTAATGTATTAAATTTTTTTTAAGTTACATATGTTAAAAAAATTACTTTTTGTAATGTATTAAATTTTTTTTAAGTTACATATGTTAAAAAAATTACTTTTTGTAATGTATTAAATTTTTTTTAAGTTACATATGTTAAAAAAATTACTTTTTGTAATGTATTAAATTTTTTTTAAGTTACATATGTTAAAAAAATTACTTTTTGTAATGTATTAAATTTTTTTTAAGTTACATATGTTAAAAAAATTACTTTTTGTAATGTATTAAATTTTTTTAATGTAAAAAAATATTAAAACTTTACAAAATAAAGTTATATTTACACTTAGGGTTTGGTTTTACCTGATAACCGAAAGCCGGAGTTTTTGGTCAAAACCAATATAAATGAAAACCACTTTTTTTTTTAATGTCTTTTGAATGTTTATTTATTATAAAAAGGTATAAAAAATTCAAATTTGTAAGTAACTAAATTTTATTATTTAGATTGCATTTTGCTGGAAAGCTTAACATGTCTTTTCATTTGTAAAACCATTCAAGTATTCCAAAAATGTTCGAATATTGAATAAAACACACGAATATATTTGGATATAAAATATTTGAATACTCTAATAGAATGGCTTATCTTTTATATTAAAGATTTTTATTCCTTAAAAAAACGTACGGATATTTTTAGTGCTTATTTTAGTTCAACAAAATATTAACGCGTAGGTATGTAATAAAAATAATTCACAATAATGTTTCTATCAACTATTTAATAATTTTTTTGAAAATATATTTGATAAAAATATATCTTGAAAATATGTCTTCCAGATAAATTATGACATCAGTTTGAAAAATTACTGCCCGGCATAAAGTTCTAAATTCAAGAAATGTTGAAGGTTCTGTTACAACATACTCCGGTGGATCTACAACTACTTTGCGGAATCATATTTTGTGTCATGGAATTACTATCAATAGCCTGTCAACTAGAGAATCAAGCAGCAGCTCAAAATCACCACCGGAAAAAAAATTAAAACCATGGACAGTTATTTAAAAAAAAACTAACCTTTAAAAAATAGTAGCTGATCTAGCTACAGATGGCAGTCAGCAAAATTCGAAGGGTTTCAGGTCAGCACAAGCGTACCAACTTTAGCCGACATCAGGTCGGCAAAAAAAAAATTGGATTTTTTGCTTTCTGTTACGATAAGGGGTAATGATTAAATGATTATTAAAGGATTGCTTTATAATAGCATAGCTTCAGACAATATTTTATATTTTAAATTTTGTTTAGTAAATTAAGTATATAGGAAATTTATGAATTAGTGATTTTTTAGTTTTGAAGTTGTCTTTTTTTACAAAAAAAAAATGGTCATAGTTTATTTATTACATTTTAATTGGTTTTGTAGATTGCTCATAGAAAGGACGTCATTTAGAAATACAAATTAGTTAATGTGCTGTAGGCGAAGATTTTGTTTAAAACGACATATTGTTTAACAAAATGAGCAGACAGTTTACATCTGGTTGTTTAATCTTTACGAGAAATAAGCATTTAATTCTCCAGTAGTAGGAGTGGTGTTTTTCAATATTTAATTGTAGTATTGTATGAACTATACAAAACTATACAAACATTTCTGTTGCTAATTTAGCACAGCCTTTATTTTTATTATGACAATTTTTTAAAAGCTCTGAATACTCTTGGCAAATTTTACACCATAATAAAATTACTTCACCTGAATCATTAGTTTGAAATCCGCAGTATTAAAAACCCCATTTTTCAATGACAGTTCTGTTAGGCATTATGAGTTGTTTTGAGTTTACTTACTGTATTACTGTTGCGTCTGTTGCGATTTAATGGAAGCATTAACTTCTATCAAATTAAAAAAAAGTTTCATAACTAATGTTTCTTCTCCATATGTGTTTAACATAACTATACCAAGGCTGAACTTTCCTGATATACTTTCTGATCTTAAATGATATTAAAAAAAACTGTAAACATTTAAATAAATTATTTTATTAGTTAAATGGTTTGAACTATTAAAATAAATTAGATTTTATAACTTAAAATTAGATTTTATAACTTAATCTTTAATAATTAAAATTAGATTTTATAACTTAATCAAATAATAATTGCGCTTAAAAAAGCGTGAGAACATCAGGCATTTAAAAAGTAATAATCTTTAACCTTTGCTATGCTTGAATAAACTTGAGAAAAAAAGAAAAAATGAATTGAAAAAAAATGAATGAATTATTGTTTTAATAAAACATGTCAAACTTGAAAAGCAATTAATTACAATATTAAAATTTACAAAATAAAATTTAACAATTATTATATATTTTTTACATGTATTTCAATTTGCATGCCGACACTTTAAGATATTCAGTTCAGCAGTTGTATGCCGTCCTAAAGCAAAGATAGGTCAGCTTTTGCGTTAGCATTGCCAAATGCCGACCTGAATTTCGCTGACTGTACAGATGGTGTTTCGATTGATACAACAAATTTATTCGCTCATCGATTCAACAAAGAGAAAATCATCTTCCTAAAAGTCCAACAACTGTGATGAATTTAATCCATCAAGATTTTTCTGATAAAAAGGAAGTGAAGCTCATACAATTAATGGACATTATTAATCAGTTTTGCTTTAATCATGCAATTCATCTTGGTTTATGTGACATGTTATACAAGAAAAATAAAGACACAAACATACCAGTACCGAAGGAAATGGACAGTGATTCAGAAGATGATGAACATGGAATTTACAATGATATCTTTAGTATTGAATCAGTAAACAATGAGAATAATTTTAACTACCCTGAAATAATTGATAAATACACGAAAAGTAGTGAAATTCATAAAAATGCCATCAGTTCATAATTAAATTTTTCAGAAGAAAATTACTGTAGAATTTGGTAAAGAAATCACTCTGCATCTCGATGTTCGTAGAAATTCACTTCCATGACTGCGCTCTTGTTAAAAACTAATAAATGTTTATTCCAGACATTTACTGAACTAAATAATGTAATCAGCAAGCTAAATTTTAAGTCATTAGCTTTATTACATGTTACTATAGAGCTAGAAAAACTAGCAGTGGAATTCCTTAGCAGAGAACATGCAACGTTATCGACAGCAGATACTGTTCTTGAATTCATGCTTGCAAAATTATTTAATATGAATACAGAAATCGCATCTTTATTGGATTTAAACTAAAAAAAGCGCATTAATGAAAGAATTAACGGAAATGTTATGCAGTTGTTAAGGTGCCTAAAAGACCCTTCAGTTGTTCCATTAAATTATATTTTAAATTTTGTTTGAAAATTTGCATTTAGGCTTTTAGGATTTACTTATAATGATAAGAAACCACTACTAGCCAAGACCATCCTGAGGGAGGTGGAGGGGGGGGCATAGAGAGTGTCTAGCCCCCCAACGAATTTTATTAGTTGGCAAATTGAACACTGGAGTCGGCAAAATGGGATATATATTTGGCAGTCAGCAAATGTCGGCCAAAAAGGACCTTTTTTTTTTTAACATGTTGGCAAAAAAAAAATTTTTGGCTTTAGTTAGCAAAAAAACAGATATGTCACCCCACCCCTCATTAAAATCTCTTCGGGACGATCCTGCTACTAGCTGAAGCATCATGTACAACATCGGAAAGTTCACCTGTTTATCTAAAGGATGAATTAAATTCACTTCTCAATAAAGATAGCACCACACACTTGCCTTAATCTACTGATCAATTCAAATGGCTTAGGCAAGAGAAAATCTTGAAAAAATTTACAATGTAATACTCTCTATAAAGCCCACCTCAATAGATGTCGCACACGTTTTTTCAAGCTGCACTAGTTTCTGAAAAAAATTTAGATCACAATTATCTGATAAATCGTTAAAATCTTTAGTCTTCTTAAAATTTTTTTACAATAAAAATAAGTCATTGTAAGTTTTATTTCAAAATATAAATATAATGTTAGAGAACACTTTGTTTAAATAACTTTTTTAATAAATAAAGCAAGAAAAACTTACATAAGTTTTATTATTTAACAAGAAAAACCAAAAACCACGGTTTTATACGATAGTTTTTTTTTTATTAAAACTGAAACCGCAGTTTTTTATAAATGCGGTTTTTCGGAAACCCTATTTACACTACAAATCAACAGGAAGTTACAAATATAATAAATGTTCTTTAAAACAAGTTAATAAGATAATTATATATTTAAAAAAAAAATAAAAATAAGGCTTAGTTAATTTTATAATTTATAAATTTTGAGTTATGTAATGTAAACTTATAATAAGGTTTCTATTAAAAAACAACTTTGAATAAACTTGAAAAAAAAATTAACACTTACATTAGAACCACAAGATATGCTTTGAGCAGCCATCATAATTGATTTCATACCAGATGCACAGACCTTGTTTATAGTAGTACAATCAGCACTTTGTGGCAGCCCTGACAACAATTTGAAAAAGTAATTTAAAAATAATTTTTTAGAAAAATGTCTTTATTGATAAAACACTGTAAAATGAAAAAAAAATTGGTGAGTAATTTTCTACTAATTTATTATTGCTTTTTTTTCAATTATAACACATTTATCAATCTAGTTAATTATAACAGTATAACTTTTTTTTAATTGGGATGGTAAAAGGTTACATGATAAGTTTTTTTGAAGCTAAATACATATGTCAATATATATTTTGGTAAAGTAATTTGACTACAATGCGAAATCGATAACAACATAAAAATATATATTGACAACAAAAACAAGTTTTATGGATCTTCAAAGTTTTTTTTGACTTAATAATCACTCTTCTTTTTCTTTGTCTGAAAAACTGTCTAGATTAGAAGTAAATTTTACATTTTTATACATTTTGTAATATATACACTTAAAATTTTATTGAATTTATTCAAGAAACTCTTTGAAACAAAGAAGAAAAAAGTGATTTAAAAAATATATATACAGTAACTTTTAAGATAAATTCATTCATATATACTGTCTGATAATAAATATACATCCTTTATACATAGATAGTGTATGTATATATATATATATATATATATATATATATATATATATATATATATATATATATATATATATATATATATATATATATATATATATATATATATATATTCTACATAATAATATAAAGATATTTCTTTATTCATATATATATACTCACATATTACGATTCTAATAATTGTTAGTTGAGCACTCTATATTTGTATATTCATTAATAGATAACAACCAGTTTGATTATTCTCTTAAAAACATACCCACAACAGGAAAAAGAAATTATAATATCAAATTATAGAAATATAAAATAGAAAGTTTCATAAAAAGTATTCGTTGGAAAACTTATTTCTTTTGAAGAAAAAATTGAACAAAAACAATAAAACAAACAATAATCACATTTTTAAATCAAAACTAACAACACCTCAATGTACCAAATCTAATGACTTTAAAAATAACCTTCTAATGTTAAAAAAATCTATCAAATTTAGAAACACAAACAATTAATTTCAAACAAAAATAAAAAAAAGAAATTCTTTAAATTGTAACCAGCAAAAAAGTTCATGTATTTGCTGATAAAACCAATAATCTATATAAAATGTCTCCTAAAAGTCACAATAAACTGATGAACAAAAATGTTACAAAAACCTATAAAAAAGTACCAGATAATTTAAAAAAATCAGTCAACCAAATAAAATTAAAATTAAATTTGAATAACTGAATAGAATATCTAGGAAAATCTCCAGCATTTATCACCTTGAAAGACCAAATCAAAACCTACCTGCCATCTCATTAACCTAGCAAAAAACAGAATTGGAATAATAAGCAAAAAAATCTTAGACATCACTAACACATACTTAAAAAACAGCCTACAAGTAAACCAAAAGAAAAACACCACTATCATTATTAATTGGTTCAACGGCAATGATGACAAGAATAGTTGTATTTTCATCCAGTTCAACACAAATGAATTTTATTCATCTATAACTAGCAAAATATTTAATAAAGCCGTTTTCTTTGCAAAACAACACACCACAATAACAGAGGACCAACTCAGAATTATAAAACATAGTCGAAAATTCCTTCTCTACTACAACATGTGGATAAAAAAACTGAATTATGAATGTTTCCATGTAACAATCGGCAGCTATGATAGCGCTGAAATTTGTGAAACTGTAGGTATTCTCATAATGATAATAATAAACAATCAATATAATTATAAAAATAGATATATGCTTTACCATGATGAAGGCTTGTTAATAATACATAATTCTAACGGCCAAGAAATGGAGCGAATGCAAAAAAACAAAATCTAAAAGTTTAAAGATATAGGATTTCAAACAGATATAAAAATAAATTCTAAATTGGTTTGTCTCTTGATGTCTTCTTTAATTTAGCCCAAAACACCCATTAGCCTTTCAAAAAACCCAATGATAACCTTCAATACATCCACATATCTTCTAATCACGAAAAATACAAATTATTAAACACTTACCTACTTCAACATGCAACAGACTTTAATAAATTCCTCAAACAAAGTTATATTTAATACAGAAAAAATGTAAAGGTAAACTATAGCTGCACTGAAAATATCAAAAAAATTGTAAAAACCACAACAAAAAAGTTATCTTCCCCAGAATTGAAAATGCTGTACCAAAACGCAACTGTTTTAATTTTTTTTTAATACAAATAATGCACATTATCACATAAACAAATATTTTAAACAAGCATTAAAACATATAACTATTTCACAACTATTTCCTACTAAAACAAAATAATAACAACATTAACCTAACTACTAAACAATTTTCTAATGAGAAAATAGAAATAGAAATCATCTAAAACAAAAATATAAATCGTAACATTCACTAAACAAGTCGTAGCAAAATTAAATTTTTACAACTTGCCTGAAGATTGTGGTAACACAATCTGCTATAGAATATTTGTGTAACAAATTGTTACAATATTTTTGTTCCATTAATTAAATATGAATTTTCAGAAAATAAAGAAAAAAAAAAAAAAGAATAATGAAAGATAAGATTGCTACCCCATGCCAAACCCTTAGTCGATGTAGCAGCACTCCACTGCAAGTCAGGCTATTTGTCAGTCGATGTATGTATGTAAAGCACTTTAAATTATGTGTATAATTTAGTGTGCATGTGTGTGTATTTTGAATTTGAAATTTTATTAAAACTTAACAACTATGTAATAACATAATAAAGTAGTTGAACTCAATAATTAACTTACCTGCTCCAATTGCAGCTTGCCGAGCAGGTGCTTGACCTAAACCTGCAATACAAACATGCCCCATATAGACCTCCTGTACATCATTTACAGTTATTTTTGCATTCTCAACTGCCCCTTTAATAGCAACTGAACCAAGTTGTGGAGCTGATAATGATGACAGGCTACTTTGGAATGAACCAATAGGAGTGCGTACTGCACTTACTATATATGCTGCCTAAATATAAAAATAATAAAGGTGATAACAACAATGATAACTATATTTAATTTAAATATATAAAGAAATTCTGCAATACTTTTTGTTCTTCCTTAAGTAAAAACAAAATTTGAAAACTTCAACTCATATTTGTTAACCCATTAAAAGAAAATGTTCTTATTGAAATCTTGTTTTAAAGGAGAAAAAACTGCTCTATATATTCAAAACTATATACTTCATAGTGTTCTGAGGTTTTATAAAAATTTCCTCTTGGAGTGTTGGCTAAGTTTTTAATCTCATGTAAACAGTAAATTAAATTAAAAAACAGTAAATTAAAACAAAATCTTTTAGGTACGCACAAAATTCTGCTTGCTAAAATAGAGCTTCCACAAAGCTTTTTCACATTGAGGAAGAATCTCAGTGCAAAAATTATATAAAAAGCAGGATCAACTAAATATTAACTGATCTTCAGAAAATTTTCACTTAGATTATATAAGGAAAGAACCATTCTCAATATAGAACTGCATTCTCTCTTTAAATTAAAAATAAAATGAAACTTCTTGGTATTCATGCATCAAACTCTGGATCTGGAGAGGTTATGGTTGAATAATAGAGAGAGGAGAGATTATGATTGACAATGTTTAAGACAATGATTAAGGTTGAATAATGAGAGAAGAGATTATGGTTGAAGTAATAGAGACCTGTTTATAACTTATAAGTTAATATAATATGCTAATATCAAGTATACTCGTTATGATACAACCATCAGACACTAAATAATGCAAAGGGCTTATTACTAGGTTACTTAACCAAATTCATTATCCTGTACTACTTCTTTTTTTTAAACATCATATGTAGAAGACATATAAAAAATATATTTCATATGTACAAGACATATGAAAAACTATTTGCCAGCAAAAAGGTCTAGTATTCTATATGTATAATCAATATGATTATTAGAAATCTATATGTCATTATGCCAGCTTAATATTTATTTTTGTGCTCAGTTTAGAAAATTAACTGAAACTAATTCTTGGCCTAACCAATAGGAGACCAAAAGCTTTCAAATTTTAAAGAGAATTATCACCAAGGTATATTTGAAAATTCTTTGACTATAAGTTGAATGTGTTTCATAAGAAATTAAAAGATTAATATATGTTTTAGAAAAACTAACTTCAGTTTCAGTTTCAAAAAAAAATTATAAAAAACTAGCTTAACTCCTTGTGATGATTCCCTCCAAAGATAAAAGATATCTTCTTCACAAATCTAATGCTTTAAACATTGCAAGGTTTGTGGCTAAATTTATTCATTTCTTGTAACTTTTGGAGTATAAAAAGGTTCCATTCTTGGTCCAATGATGTTTCTCTAAATTAATGATCTTTCTGTTAATCTTACCTTTAAAGTTGTATTTGCTGATGATACAACTATATATCTTGCCAAAAAGTCAATACTTTTTGATTGCTTAGAACCAGGAACATAGAGTCACAAAAGGACTCATGATTTGTAAGTCACAAAAAGATTGTTTTTTTCTGGTTTTTGGTATCCAAGAGCTCCAAAAACATAAAGTAGTATTAAAAAAAATTTTATGAAATATCTTTCAGACAAAAAATTAAGACTTAGAGAAACATTCAAATTTTAAACCTGGAGTCATTATGTACAATGGTGGCAAGGAATACAGGTCTTAGGGCAAGGAATGGTGGCAAGGAATACAGGTCTTAGGGCTAAAAAAATACAAGTTCCATGAAATCTCAAAAAAATTTTCTTGCGGATCTTAAGTGACCCAACATTTTTAGAATTCCTGGACACTAAATACCAAAAAAAAGCATATATTTAAAGCCCTAGTCTTTTTGGAACTTTATTTCCTGCTTAGTACAGGCAAAAGATTTTGAATCTGATCTCTCTTCTTTGATAGGCTAAGACTTGCGGTGGGTGGTTAAATTTAACCCAAACATAATTCACTTGTTTCTTGCTGATAAATATTGCAATATGGTTGATATTCATATATTAATAAATGGCAATACTTTGAGTCCACAAATTTTTACTTTATGCCTTTTCGGATTATCATTCACCACTGACCTCTCATAGAAACCATATATACAGCACTGGAAATAAAGGTAGCAAATCTACACTGATCAGCTGAAATAAAAAATATTGAAAAGTAAACAATCAAATTTTTTTCCGAAAAATCAATTTTACTTTTGTAATTTTCACTTAAATTTAGTAACCGTAACACTTTATGCATTACATTTTTTGAGTTAACACAATATTTTATAGGCCTGAAACAAAAAACTGCAGATTTAAAAGAAAAATTAGTATTTAGGAATAATCTTTTAATAAAATACAAACTGTAATATTTTGCTATTAAGTCTCAATAAATTTTTTCACTTCTTAATATAGCAGTTTTAGCATATTATTTTGAATCGGCTAAAACAACTAATAGATTTTTAATTACCCGTTAACAAAAAAGTAAAGTTAATTTAAACTAATCCAAATTTAATTTTTAGAAAAAAAACAAATCAAACTTAATTCTTGGAAAAAATTAAATCTTTACTTTTAACTAAAACACCCCCCAAATAAAAAATTTTTTCTTAGCTGGTGATCTAGATTTCTTATCAAAAACTTTTATAAATGAAAATTTCAATTAAAAAGAGCTATTACATGGAAATGTAATATTTGCTAAAAACTATCACTTGTTTTGCGTGATTCAAAATAATATAAAAAGATAATCTTTCTTATAAAAAATAAAAACTTTTACTTTTTTTGGGGGGTGATTCAGATACTAATTTCATATTAAAATGAATTGTCTGTTGTATTTTGTCAGTGATTATAATTTATTTTTCACTTTCTATTTAATCAACTTTAACATTTATTTTAAATGTTAAAACATACAAAACTATTACATCGTTTTGACATATAATGACCTCAAACTTTTGAGATTATTGAATAATTTAAGTTAAAGTAAATAACTATTTAAGTTAAAGTAAATAACTATTTAGCTTAAATTCTTATGATCTACATTTATTATTTAGACTTATATTACCATATCTAGTCTTTAGTTATATATTTCAATAATTAATTAAATTTTTTTTTCTGAATTTAAAGGTAAAAAAAAAAAAAAATTATGATTGCAAACTATGTTTATTCTGCCAATCAAAAATTTTGGATATAATTAATCATTCTGCATTTTCGCTTATTCAATAATATTTTAGCATTTTTTTGATACTGTAAATTCAAAATTGTTACGGTAAATAATTTTTATTTCAATAAATCAAAATTATTTAGTTGCTAACTTAACCATTTCAACTTCCTGTTTTTAAAATTGTTTCTTTTATTAAGTTTTTTTTATCAAATTTGATCGGCCAGAATTGGGGAGATCAAAACATCATTTTTTTCAATAGTAGATAACCATTGATTGTTGATCTGTTGTTATTTCCAGATTTGTTTATACAATCAATTGCAAAGGTAACACCTGCTAGGGTTGCCATGTTTAATTTTGCTCGCCACTTTCTTATTCCTGATTCCATTCTCTGTAAACCTCTTAGTTGCACTTAGAAGGCGTAATTTTGTCATATTTGAACAATGAATTTATGTTAAGATATGACAAAGTTTTGACTGTCTAAAAACTCTCTTATTTAAAAAAAGACCAAAAACAAATTGTTAATGTTATCAGTATTTCTTAATGTCTCCAAAAAAACTTGTTTCTTTACCTTGGATCCATGCTATGGATTCAGTAAAGACACAAAACTTTAAAAAATCTTTAAAAAAGCAGGATATAAAACAAAAATAGTTAAAAAATTAAAAATATAACTAATCACAAAATAAAAAATTTTAAAGATTTTTTGGAGATTAAATACCAGTGTTTAAGTCTCCAAAAATCTTTAAATCTACTGAGGTCCAAAAAATAACCTACACAACCAGTTCATATCCTAGTGTTCATAAATTAGAGTGCATTTGAGGCAAATGTAATATAGGTGAAACAGAACTAAAAATATGATAAATGCTAACATCAAACAAGTGAACAACAAAGTAAAGGGAAAATTCAGATGTAGCTAAGCATTCCATAGTTATAACAGAAAAGTTAGGAAAGCATTGGAAATACAATAGCATGAAATGATGGTCTTAACTGGAATTACAGTTAGACAATTATGTGACAATGTTATTTTGGAAACATTCCAATTCTTATGCCACAAAAAGATCTCTTGAAATGAAACTCTTGGAAATTTTTCAGTTTTATTGAATATTGCAGTTTTATTTTCAAAAACGGTTTTCAATATACTTGATAAGTAGGGTATAACTATACCAATATTTTTAACATATATAGTTCAACAAAAGTTTTATTTAAAAACTTATAATTTAATTCTTTTAAAGATGTCAATTTTATATATACAGTATTCTCAAAAAAAAAATGGCACAGCACAATTTTTTTAAAAAAAGCATAAAAATTTAATCTTTCCTTAATTATTTTTAAATTTTATATCAAATAATGTGAAATAGTAACTATTTTAAAACTATATCCATCATTAAAAAAAAAAAAAAACTGTTGTAGTAAGAGAAAACTATAGAATTGGTAAAAATCAACTAACATAGGAAAGTCCAATATTTTTAAAAAGAATGGTGAAATTGATTATGGTTTCTGATTTTTTACAGGTTTGTTGTTAAATACAGAATACTTAATACAATCACTTTTCCTGTGTTTCAACTAAACAAAAATTTAATCAGCTTTTTTGTTACTATAATCATTTTTAATACTTAGTGGCGTAACCTTTTACAGCAATAATCGCTTGGCATTTGTTTGGCATGCTTTCGAGTAGTTTTGTTAACAAGCTAATTTCCAGTAAATTCTAACCATTTAGAAGTGTCAAAAACAATTCACCTTCATTAATAGGTTTTCTGTTTTTGAGTTTAGCAACTAATTTAGACCATAGGTTCTTAACTTTATAATAATCAGGTGATTGTGCTGGCCACTCAAAGGCAGTTATTCAATCATTTTTTATGTATCTTATTTTTCTTGGTGTATGCTTTGGGTCATTGCCTTGCTGAAAGTTTCCATCGGAAAATAGTGCTATACTTGGCTGTAATTGCTGAACTAAAACTAAAAATGTTGGTGCATGCTTCCATCAACTCTATACAGTTTTCCCACTCCATGAGCAGCAAATGCACTCGAAACAATGATTTTTTTCATGTTTCACTGTGGCGCGTGTACACTCTGGATTACACAATTCACCTTTTTTTTCTATATTCTATCTAGAAAACCATATTGCAGCACAAAAGTTGATTCATCTGTCCACACAGCAACGTATCCAGGCCGATTTTGATACCGGTATGGGCCCCCAAATTTCAGCCCAAACTCAATTTAAAACAGTTTTATATTAGCATTTGTTACGATTACAGAAATACCAACATTTGAAAAATGACTTTTAAAGTACATTATAAATGTATTTTAAAAGTACATTATAAATGTATTTTAAAAGTCGCATTTAAAATACATTATAAATGTATTTTTAAACTTAAAATATATTATAAATGTATTTTAAGCCAACCAAAATGCTTAATTCGAATTCACGTTGATGAAATATAGAATATGTTGTAATTGGATTAAATGTAAAACGCACGTTTTGATTGGATTAAAATATGAAACGCTTAGCATTTTTAAATAACATTTTTAAAATACATTAATATGAGTTTCTCCTCCGCTTATGTTTTCATAACAATTTTTGAAGCGATTAAACTAAATGAGCTTTAAACTTTTACATTTCAAATAACAGTAAAAATTGTCTTAAAAATACTTTAAATAATAAAACGAATGAAAGTTTTTAAAACAAAAAATTAAAATAACATTTATTTCAATAATTAAAATAACATTTTAATATTCGCGCCAAAAAACTTGATTTGAATAGTAAAAGTAGAACTAGAAAAAAAAGTTATGAATTTTTAAATGAATTAAAATTTCGATTGAATTTACTATGTTTTAAATACGCTATGTAATAAATCTTATGAAGTTTATATCAAAGAGTCATACAAATATTGTTTATTAAACGTAATAGTTATTGCTTGTTTATGAAATCATACTCTTTTTATTTTTAGTTAATAATATTTAATAATTTGAATTTAATAATTTAATAATTAGTATTAATTTATAAATAGTAAGTGTATGAAGCAAGTAAATGAAAAGTAGCGATTAGCGATGAATCGATGTTGGAGTTAAAGCCGTCGTTCTGTAATAAATGTAACATTATTTTGGTTAATTATTTAAATTTTTGTTAGAAAGAATCTAAAAGACAAGGGTGAGGTATATATTATATACGAATAATTGTATTTAAATTTGAGTAAAAAAAAAAAAAAAAAAAAAGGTCCTCTAAGATAGACAGTGTTTTTTGCACCATTTGAGTCTCTTAATGCAATTTTTCTCGTTTATAAAAAACTTTTTTGTTTTCCCCCTGAAGTATACTCTTTACCTACCTTTATTCTTGCAGCAATTGCATTCAAAGTTTAAATTTTGCTTATTCTGATTCACTGATATCCTTTCTTTGCTGATATCCTATGGTTCTTCATCATAACCAAACAATCTTCTTATCTGTAGTTTATAGCTTCCTTCCAGACATCGCCTTCTTGCTAATTAAATTTTGAGATAAAAATCTGGACACAATTCTTTGAAATGTAGATTTACCACAGCCAACTTCTTTAGAAATACGCAAACACCGATCTGCATTGTACATTTGAATTATTTTACATTTATCAAAATTTGAAATGTATTTTCCCAAATTGGTTAGCAAATGATATAGTTGAAACTAAGTGCTAAAATACTATTATGAAAATGAATTTATCTAATTCTATTGTTTTGGACATTTCATTCTTAAAATTTTTATGCGCATTGGTTATCATTCAATTAAAAAAGGAATTTTGATAACATTTTTGATAACATCCAAAAAATGTAAACTGAACACTTAAAAGGATCTTAAACCTCCAAGACATGTTGTGTTCATACTAAACCTTCAAGACATGTTGTGTTCATACTAAACCTTCAAGACATGTTGTGTTCATACTAAACCTCCAAGACATGTTGTGTTCATACTAAACCTCCAAGACATGTTGTGTTCATACTAAAGAGAATGAGCATTTTATTCTTAAAAGTTTTAATACATGACGTCATTGATTTTTTTTGTTTGCATAAAAAATGGATTATGTAAACAAACAAAAAAGTCAATGACGCCATGTACTAAAACTCTTAAGAATAAAATGCGCTTGAATAAATTATCGAACCTGTAGATTGTGGTGAATATAATGCTGACTTTTTGGCCTTCAACAAAACGGAGAAGACGAGCTTCAATTAAAATAAAAAAGTTATATTTTCTTGGTATGTATTTATTCTTTTGTTTTAATCAAAAAAATATAGCCCAAACATTTTTTTTATTATTCTCTTTAATATGAACACAACATTTCTTGGAGGTTTAGGATCCCTTTAATACTAAAAAAATCATTTTAGGAAATGTTACTATAACATTAATCTATGTTACATAGAAAAAGTTTTAACTAAAAATGTATTTTCTAATTTAAGTTTATTGAATTTCTATAATATTCAATTTTTTAACAGGTAGTTTTAACTCCAACCCTGCTTGTTTGTTTTTTTTAACAGGTGGTTTTAACTTCAACCCCGCTTGTTTGTTTTTTTAACAGGTGGTTTTAACTCCAACCCTGCATGTTTGTAAAATTAAAGTGTTTTATGTTTCATTTAAGTCACCATTTTGATTTGTTTCAGTTGTGTTTAATGATTCTATACACATGGCATTTCATTAATAGGAAATAAAAAGTACTAACACGCAATTTACAATTTTAAATGTATTTTAAAAATAAATCATTTATTGCAATCACTTCAAAAAATGGTGCAAAAAGCTACAAGAAAGATAAATGAAAACATTAAAGAGAAAAAAAAAAGAGTACAATTTGAATTTTTTACCTGATAATTTTTGTATTTTTACTGATGATGTATTTTTTACCTGATGAATGCTAACGCATGAAACTTTTAGTAGTAAACATTATGTAGTTATTTTTTACTTTATATCACCAAAAACCTGAGTGTGTTTTACATACCTTATTGTTGTGACTTGAGATAGAAAACGTTCTTGAAAGTATTTTCAAAATCTATAATATTTCAAGGAAAAACTTGTAGAACTTGTAAAAAAATGTACAATTTCTTAAATAAAAGATTATTTGAGATATTTAGCCATAAAAAACTATTATCAATAAAATCTTAGTTTATCCATGATAAGTTTTACACACCCCTATTTAGCATAACCAATAAAAAAGAAAAAAGAAAATTCTGAAAATGTATGTACAACTTATAATAACTTTTGGATTGTTCACAAATTACATTATGCAATAGGGGGAGGAAAAAGGTTAGTGATTTTGTGACTTGTTACAGGGGGAGAGAGGGAGGTTCTTAAGTTTTGTGATGCAACTTTTTTTTTTTTCAAGTTTCAAACCTAGAAAATCTTTTCTATTGATTATAAGAGCGCCAAGCCTAAAACACTTGACTGTAGCTCTTCCATTTTAATATAAATTGGAATTGACTACAAATTTTAGTTGTCTGAATAAGTCTACGGCTTATTTTATTACGGCAATATATCATAGATAAAGAAAAGATTAATAATAATATAATCGTTAAATAAAAATAATTTAACAATTATTAAATAACAATAATACTTAACACATAGTCAGTAAAACGCTACTATTTTTTACTAGGAGGGGGAGGGGGAGGGTTTAAAAATTGTCAAAAACTGTGCCACGTAATTTATGGATGACTCTTTAGCAGCATAAAAAGACAGAATTTAAAAATCTATTTAATTTATTTAATTCAATAAATTTATTTAATTCATTTTAACTTAGCAAAAATATCTAGAAGAGCATGGCCATTATCATGAATTACGAGGGTTAATAATTCACACACACACACACACACACACACACACACACACACACACACACACACTCCTAGTCCGCATTTATGGAAACATATTTTTTTTGTTCCCTAAACGTTTTTTTTTTTACTTTTTTTTTTTTTCTTTAACCATTTTTACCATATTTACATAACTTTTTTAATTATTATTTTATTTCTATTCTTATTTATCCATATGAAACTAACCCTATGCCTGACCTTGATGCTGACCCTAACCAAATTTTCAGTCAATGTAGCAGCACTCACTTGCAAGTCAGGCTATTTGATACTCAATGTATATACTTTTCACTCTCTATAAAAGTTGCTTACGGGGACATTTTTATTTTTTCAAAAAAACAATGCTTATGGAGACAAAAAATTAACAGGGACACAAAAATGTCCCTGATAATGCTAACATTTTTGTAAATATTCATTTTTTTGTAAAATCTGTACCCGCAAGTGATAATTTAGGTGTGTGTATATATATATATATATATATATATATATATATATATATATATATATATATATATATATATATACATATATATATATATATATATATATATATATATATATATATATATATATATATATATATATATATATATATATATATATATATATGTATATATATATATATATATATATATATATATATATATATATATATATATATATATATATATATATATATATATATATATACATATATACATATATACATATATATATATATAATATATATATATATATATATATATATATATATATATATATATATATATATATAAAATTAAAGGTTTCACCGTCATAAATATGAAATACAATACATATAAAATTTCAAAAATAAAAATTTAATTTATTTTATTTTTTACAAAACTCATTTTGCTTTAATACTTAATCTAATATTTTTACTTAGATAAATAATTTTTAATTCAATAATTTCAACAAATTACTGAAATCTTGGAGAAAACTACTTACTAAATTATTAAATTTATATATTTACTAAAAAGATACTTTACTGTTCTTCAAGATAAATGATGAAGCCATGATAATAAATATTATTTGACTAAAAAAAAAAATCAATTATATATTTTTTAAATTGAATCAAAATGAAGAAAAAATAATTATTTATCAAATCGAAATTCAGCATTTTTAAACTTAAAATACAGGGAACAAACTTAATTACAAATTTGTGGTGTAAAAGATAGTAAATAAAAAATGAAGAAAAAAAAAAGTAAATACTTTTTAAAACGCTGCAGTAATCACGCATTTTTTTTATTAATTTTTTTTCGGTTTAAAACAAATTTAAGGTTTTAATACAAATATTACTTTCTTTTAAATTTGCTATTATTTATTACTATTTTTAAAGCCATATTTATGTAAAATATTGACAACTTCATTATAGGCGCAACCCTCACGAATGATAGTAAACTCTCTTTTTTTTGTCAAGTCAACAACAGTTGAACCAAGTCGAGACTGTTCAGAACTTCCAAGTGTACCACCATCAACAATAAGATCAAGTTTTGGCCAAAGCTCTTCAAACTCCTATAACATAAATATATATATATATATATATATATATATATATATATATATATATATACATCAACCCTCGGAATTAGGTTCTTTTTGGAAAAATCCTCTTTAACTGCAAAAATAGAAGCAATAATACAACTCACCTTTAAAGGGATCCCAAACTGCCGACACATGTTGTGTTCATATTAAAGATAATATTAAAAAAAATGGTTTGAACCAAGTTTTTTTGATTAAAAATAAATAATGAATGCATACCGAGAAAAACTAACATTGTTGTTTTAACCGAAGCTCGCCTTCTCCATTTTTTTCAATAACTCAGAGTCTTTAAATTATACATCACAATCTACAGACTTTGGCGATTCCTTTGAAGCGCGTTTAATTCATAAAAGTTTTAGTTTTTGACGCCACGGTAGACTTTTAACAAATGAAACTCTGGAAATATTTTCATTTATTTTTATTCGAACTTTTTTTGATTATTTGTTAAGTTTTTTTTTTTCTATTTTTAACATTTAAAAAGATATTAAAAACCTCAAATATTTTATGCTGGTTCGTTGCTATAAATTGTTATTGTGCCATATATTTAATGTTTATAAATTATGAATATTTATTATCTCAATCAAGACTCTGATAAAAAATTGTTTTACATTAATTACCCTTATAAAATTAGTAAAAGCATTTTTATTTTGGTTAGATAATATTTCGTCTCAATTTGCATGAAGTTCGGGAAGTCAAGCAAAAAAAATTAGTTTGAATAATCACTTTGAAATATATTCAAAACAAATTATTTTAATGACGGGGGTTTAAAAGTTTTTTTATAACAAATGTAGGTAAAAAATAAATAATTAAATAAAAAGTTCAACATTAAACATCATTTCTTTGCAACTGTAAATATTGAAATATTAACTTGAACTAAATTTACTTATTATTTAGAACGACTAAGCAATAAAAATAAAAAGCACCAAAAATTATGTGATATTGTGTTGTTGTTTTTATAATTGCTGTTGGTAATGTTTATGTTGATTATTTTCATTAATATCAAAATAGTCCCAGATTAATCTAATAGTTGCTTTGCTCATTGTTGATTTATTTCTAATTTAATTTTATTTCTAAGTATAAATTTATGTTAAGAAAGAAAAGTTTTTATTTCATCGCTCGCTCTTTTTATAAAAAAGTAGAACAAAAGAGAAAGAAAAGTTTCACATAATTAAACTTCGAAAGAATTTTAAAAAGAGTTGTATAGAATATTTTTTTTTTTTTTTGCGTCACTCGTTCTTTTTTTAGAGGAGAAAAATAAAAGTTTATTAGTAACTTTTCTTTGAATAAATGAAAATTGGAAGAGAAAATTGCTTGAAAACTTGTATTTGTTGTGTTTTAAAATTTTTTTAATTTTTAATGTTAAGAGACAAATGCCAAATACGATACAAATTGGGAAATACCAAATATGATAAGTTTTTTAACGCGCGTTATGACATTTTGACAATTTAAATTACCATTTATCTTGAATTATTGCCATTAATTAATGTGTTAATTATTGCGTTATATAAAAATAATTTGTCCGTATTTTTGTTAAATATTAGTTGTATAAAACGGGCGAAAATATACAAACTTCATGTTTTTATTTGATGGTTATAAAATATTGAACAGTAAACTAATAATCAAAATTTATAATGCCGACTTGTGTTGTTATTAATTGTACTTTTAATGCAAAACCAAGATCTCACATATCCTTTTACGAATTTGCATATCTGATACTACTGTTAACTGTATTGTTTAGTGTATTCTTGTACTTTTTTTTCATAACCTTAACAGGTTTTAATAGGTATAGAGTTGCCAACATTTTAAAAGTTTCATTATCAAAAATCAAATGTAAAATAAAATGATATTTCCTTTTTACCCGTATCCAATTTAGCAAATTTAGCAATTTAAAATAAATCAGCGTAATCAAAAAATTGATAATAATCAAATAATTTATAATAAAAAAAGTTAACAATTCTGCAAATATCTCTAATTAACACTGTCAGTTTATGAAATTAATTGTTAATACTTTTTTTCAACGGGAAAATAGAAAATATCATAGCATAAAAATAACCAGAAGTTAGAAAAAAGTTCCCATTGTTTAAATAAAAATAAGTAAGATTCAGAATATATAATACCGCGCTCTCTTGCATAAAAACGAGAGACTTTATTCATAACGTTCAATATAATGTAAAACACTCGTATGAAAATCATAAGATTCGTAAGTAAAGCTTTAATATTTGTTTTAATTTAAAAACAAAAGAATTATAAGTAAGATATATAAATCTAAAAATTATTAAGATATTGGTAAAAAAAAAGTTCCTCTTATGAAGTAAAAACCTTTTATTATTTTTGATTTTTACAAAAATTTGTTGTAAAAGTTGTTTTACTGTATGTTAAAATTTTTTTTAAAATAGAAAAACGCAGCTTTGTTTAATTACACTTTTCTTTTGTTAAAAATCTACCGTGACGTCAAATGCTAAAACTTTTATGAATTAAACGCGCTTCAAAGGAATCGCCAAAGTCTGTAGATTGCAACATATAATTTAAAGACTCCGAGTTATTCAAAAAAATGGAGAAGGCAAGCTTCGGCTAAAACAACAACATTAGTTTTTCTCGGTATGCATTCATTATTTATTTTTAATCAAAAAAACTTGGTTCAAACCTTTTTTTTTAACATTATCTTTAATATGAACACAACATGTATTGGGAGTTTGGGATCCCTTTAAAGTATCAAGAGAAGTTCATAAAACTTATCTGCTGAAAAAAATTTTATATTATGTGTACAATACACAACTTAAGTTACGTAAGTTTGATGAAGAGTCATTTTCCCTGATATCTCCCTGATTTTTCCAAAATTTAACCCCATTTCCCAGATTATTCCCTGATTTGTACATATCTGAATTTCCTGACCTTTTCCTGTTTTCCTATTCTGGCAGACACCCTGTAACTCCAGAATCATTAGGAATCATTATGAGGCCTCCCAAAATAATTTGAAAATTTTAAACTTAAATTAGTAAAATTTTAACTTTTAAATTAGTAAATATTTTATTAATTTTGTTTATGCCAGTAACAAGTACTTTTTAAAGAAAAGAAATTTAAAAAGTATTATATACTTACTTTTTTTCCCCACCTGTGGCCTCAACCACAAAAAATTCTTGAATAGTTCAAAACAATATATTTTTTATGAGGGAAAGCGAAGGATTATAAAAAAATTACCCCTCGCTTCTTCATTTAACCTTATGCATATCAATAGTATGATAAAAATTAGCATTTATTAATTTATTGACCTTAAAAAGACATAAGATCTAAAATAATTTTTTAAAACTTATAAATAAGATATAGCTTTTGTTATAAATAAATTTTGTTATAAATAAATTTTATTATAAATAAACTTTGTTATAAATAAATTTTGTTATAAATAAATTTTGTTATAAATAAATTTTGTTATAAATAAATTTTGTTATAAATAAATTTTGTTATAAATAAACTTAAATATAAATAAACTTTGCTATAAATAAATTTTGTTACAAATAAATTTTGTTATAAATAAATTTTGTTATAAATAAATTTTGTTATAAATAAATTTTGTTATAAATAAATTAGCAATTAATTCTATACCAATTCTACATTTTAAAAAGCTTCAAGGAAAAGGCTTTATTTAAATAAGACAAAAAATGCAATAAATTTTTTTGCTTTAAAAATGTTATTTCATACCTGTATTTAGTTATAAAGGTTCTAATAAAAAAATTGAGGTGACATCATATTGAGCATCACAAAAACCAATTAAAATTTATTTTTCATATTTGAAATAACTGATTTTATTAAAAAATTATTACATTATTTACAGAAAGTATTTACATTATTTACAGAAAGCCCCCAGCAGCAGGCTATTTCAGTATGATGTCAGATTGCTTACCTTAGTACGCAATACTATTTGTATATATATATATATATATATATATATATATATATATATATATATATATATATATATATATATATATATATATATATATATATATATATATATATATATATATATATATATATATATATATATATATATATATATATATATATATATATATATATATATATATACACACACAGTGAACGCTCAATATAAGCAACCTCTCTATAAACAACATTCTTTATAAGCAAGCTCTATGCGAGCAACTTTTTTTAGTTCAACTGTTCTGTATAAGCAACTTATATTTTTAAAGTTAAATATTTGAAATAAGTCCCCCTAATAACACATTATTGCAACCATTATTGCAACCACTAGATCAAAATATGATAAAATCACTAAAACAATGCTATCGCAAACATCTACTTGCATGTGCTGCAGCTTTAGATGCAGAAGATGGAATAGTTTTAGACTAACAAACATAAATTTGAAAGATGTTTATTTAGTGGTGCAAGCACAAAATGAAATTCCCATGTCAGTTACACAAAATTCATTTAAACATCTTTTTTTGTCAAGTGATGAAATTTAATACAACATTCCATTTAATCACTTTTCAGAAGAAGATGATACTCCCTTGGCAAGATTGTCTTATTTGATATTTAATGATTGCAATTTAGCAGATATTAAAATTATGGAGTGGGCAAGTGTAAAAAGCGAAGCAAATTATCTATTTAACCTTAAAGAAAATTCTGAAAAAGAAAGTGAAACTACTCCTGTTGAAGAAAATGAAAAAATGTCAGATGACTCCAATAAAAACATCAATGATGTTATAAATGCTTTGGTGATAGAATGTGAAAAAGGAAATAACTTACCCTACAATGAGGTTCTTTTGTTACTAAAAATAAGAGAAAAAGCTATCATGAACAAATATATGTAACTGTTTTTGTTTGTTTTGGCAATTAGTGACCTAAAACAAGAATTTATTAAAATTTGATTATTTAATTTTTTTTAAATATAACTAATAACTACACTTATATGATATATGATAATAATAATAAAATGTTTTCTTCTGAAAAATTAAACTGAATTTATTTATTCTACACAGTTTAGTTAGTAAAAGAAATAATTAAAAATATTTTCCAGACGGTAAATATTTTTATATCCTTTTTTCCCTACAAGCAACTTTTCCTAATAAGAAACTTTTTTATTTAATTTGATTCAAATGAGTTGCTTATATAGAGCATTCACTGTTTTATATAGTAATATAATAACAAAATAAATTAATAACATTACTTGTAATTATATTTTAACACTAACAATTTTGAACTTTTTATAAAATGGATACCTACGTTTATATCCAAAGAACTCATTGCAGAAGAAATATTAGCGCTAGTAAGTGCAATGGGTTGTTGACATTTTTGTGCAAGTGTTTGAATAAATGCACATTTTGGAATACGAACTCCAATACTATTAGATGTAGGGTTTAAATAAGAGTTTAGTAATGAGGATCGTTGAAATACTAATGTCACAGGTCCAGGCAAAAGATCTTCTAATACATTGTCAGAAATGGTCACCAAGCACCATCTAAAAAGATAATTATAAATGTAACTATTATATTTGTCTAACAGGCTATCTTAGAACATGAGAAAATGGTCTAGATAGAAAAAACAGAGACTATATCAACCCAAAGCAAGGCCAAATCGAAGCCTGAATTTGTTAGTATTATTTTATTAAATCTAATCTTCTCTAAGTCAAGTTGCTTTTTAAATCTTAAATAACAAATTAAATTATAGTTTATAGTTATATACTAATAACATAAACTTACATGTTTAAAGAAAAACAAATATAAAAAAGTAAATATATATATATATATATATATATATATATATATATATATATATATATATATATATATATATATATATATATATATACTAGAGTGTCCCAAAAAACTTATCAAACCATTTTAAAAAAAAATCTGCTCCCATCCTCTAAATGTGTTCTACATAATAAAATAATACTGGAATTTAAAAATTTAGGGGTCCCTTAAGACTCTTGAACATCAGACAAGTTCCTAACACAATCAAAAAAAGTTCTCAAAACGTATATTATGCTGGGTTTAAAAGGAAGTAAAATTTTTTTATAATTTTACTTTTTTTGAGACCCAATATGATATATTTTTGAAGAATTTTTTAAAATAATTTTAAGGACTAATTAATTTAGGAAAACTATTTTATATATATACATTAGGGTGTCCCAAAAAACAACATTTTTGAAAATAATCTGCTCTCACCCCCTAAATGTGTTCTATCTAATGCAAAAACACTAGGTTTAAATTTTTTTTGAATAAAAAATATTTTTTGGGGTCCCTCAAGACCCTCGAATATTTAATGGGTCCCTAATATTTTTGAAAAAAAAGTTTTTCGAAAATATGTCAACCTGGTACTTAAATGAAGCGAAATTATATAAAAATTTTAAAAATAATATTCATTTCGAAACAAAATTGTTATTTTTTGTTTTATTACCTAAAAAAATTGCGTTATTAAGAAAAAATTAAAAAAAAATGCATTTCTAATGTTTTTTTATGATAATTTTGATAAATAAGTTAAAAATATTTCGAAATGAATATTATTTTTGAAATATTTATATAATTTCACTTCATTTGAGTACCAGGTTGACATATTTTTGAAAAACATTTTTTTCAAAAATATTAGGGACCCATTAAATATTCGAGGGTCTTGAGGGACCACTTAAAATATTTTTTATTCAAAAAAAATTTAAACCTAGTGTTTTTGTATTAGATAGAACACATTTAGGGTGAGAGCAGATTATTTTCAAAAATGTTGTTTTTTGGGACACCTTAATATACATATATATATATATATATATATATATATATATATATATATATATATATATATATATATATATATATATATATATATATATATATATATATATATATATATATATATATATATATATATATATATATATATATATTAGTGATGTACCAATATCACTTTTTTGGCCGATGCCGATACTGATGCCGATGAATGGGAAAAGGCCAATACCGATACCGATACTCTATAACTCTACTCTTTTTTTCTAGCAACTCCTAACTTGATAGTGGTTGCTTGAAGCCTTATTGGGAGTAAAAAATTATTAATTAAATTAAAAATATATAGATAACAATGCTTAAATAGGTTACTTTTAAAGCTTTTGCCTGTAAACAAAGTCAAAATAAAAATTTATCCAAAAAATTCTAAGTAATGCCCGAAGTTTAGTTTATTTATTATTTAATTATGATAATAATGCAGGATAAAAATATCAAAATGCCATCAGTTGGAAAATCGGTAAAAAAGGCTGATGCCGAAACCGATACCGATTGTGCAAAAAATAGCAGATTAAGCCGATGCCGATTAATCGGCACATCACTAAAATATATATATACATATATATATATCAGGCCTTGTTACGAGATTTCGCTGCGTAACGGAAAAGCTGAACATGAATAAAAGTAACTTTACTTAATAAAGATATTTACATTGTTAAAAGTTAATTTACGTCAGTTGCGTTTTTACTTCATTGTAATTAAATTTAAAATAACATTAAAAACTATTGTTAGTCTTTGAAACGAAATAGCTTTAAATTGTACAATAGTGTTATAAAAAAAAAAATTTAAATGTTGGTTAAAAAAAAGTCTTCTTGTATTAAAATCTTATACTTATTTAAACTTAATTTTTTTGCTTTTAAACATTCGTTTTATGGTTGTTTTTTTTTTATTTTTTATTTTAAATAATTTAAATTTAACACTTGTTTATGGTTGATTTTCTTAAAGGGATTTAAATGTACTTATAACTAAACGCATAGATTGGGTTTTCCCTTTTAAAAAAAAACGTTTGTTTTGATAAAATAAATGTTGTAAAGAAACGAAATTTACTGCTTTTTCGGCTTTGTTTTTTTTTATTTCCATTAAACTATTTTATTTTTATGTACAGTGAAACCTAATTTTTTTTTTCTCAATCCAAAAAAAAAAATAGTGTTTTCGGTTTTCAGATGTTATAAGCAGAATTTGTTTTTAACAAATATCATTATAATTTTGAAATTTATGTATCTTATATTTATAGCTCAAGTACTAGTTTTGTTTTTAAAATAAAATAAAGATAAGTTGGGTTTTTAAAGAGTTTATTTACTGATCACGTTATTTTTAATAGGTTTGTATTTTAGTTTGTTCAAGGATGTATTGTTAATACGTCCTTAGTTTGTTTTATGAAAAAAAATTCTTTGGCAAACGGCAAAGGGAAAACCCAAACATAACATTTATAACTCGAGTTTAAAAGTATTGACGTCATTTATTAACTGTAGTTATAAAATGAATAATGCGCTTCTGTAAATAATGAATGAAACTGTAAAATAATGGAAAAATAAAAACTGGAAAATAATGCGCTTTTGTAAGCGCATCTTTCAGACCAGTATTTGGAACTTACCTGAAACTTAACTAAAATTAAAATAAAGTTATATGTAATACAAACATTTTAAAGTAACTTGAATTAAATTTATCAAATCTTTTTTTACTTTGGTAATTTTATAAAAAAAACGGAGCATTTTAAAATTAAAAAATTTTAAAATGCTCTGTTTTAAAATTAAATGAAAGAATTTTAATTAAATTTAATAAATTTATTTACTAAAAACTATAATTATTAAAAAAATATTTAAATTTTAAAATAAATGGAAAATATTTCTTTTTTTAAATTTGATTGTTTATAAACTTATGAAATCTAATATTTAAAATTAAATATGATGAAAAGTTTAAACTTAAAACACTTTATTTTCTTTAGGTAATTTTTAAAAACAAAAAAAAAATTATTAAACAAATTGTTTCTTTAACAAAAAATCTATTAGTTTACAATTGCGGTTAAATGCTTTTACTTTAATACTTCTGAATGAACGTCACATAAACGATATAAAAAGATAATTTAAATATTCTTAAAGATAAAAGTTTTTGCGTAACGCATAACTGCTGAATGCGTAGGCAAATCGCTATTTCGCAGGCAAAATGCGAGCTGCGTAACGCTTCTTAACAAGGCCTGATATATATATACATACATATATATATATATATATATATATATATATATATATATATATATATATATATATATATATATATATATATATATATATGTATATATATATATATATATATATATATATATATATATATATATATATATATATATATATATATATATATATATATATATATATATATATATATACAGGCCTTGGCATGAAGAAAATTGTCCAGCGTGATGTTTCGCGCCCATAAAACTCAAATATTTTTTTAGCGAGCATGATTATATGCGCTCCTCATTAAATTATAGCAAGCAATCTTTTATTTTTGGATATGGGTGTTTTACACAACTTTATTAAGTTTTAATTTGTTATACAGCGTTCTTTAGACGATAAATATTTTAAAATTATTATTTAGCAGTGCACTGCCTGACAAAATGTTTAAAACTCATTTGACTTCCTAAATACTTATTATTTGATTGCATCTGATTGTGTTTTTTTTCCCACCTAATTCTTAATAATCTTGTTTTAAAGAATAAATTTATCTTTTATGTATTTTCTTTGTTATTGACTTCATCTTTAACTTATTAGTACGGTCAATTTTTTTTTATTATTACATCGAATTTATTTGAAAGAAGTTCATAGACTTTCATTTTTTTGTTTCACTCGTTTAATTAAAATATAAATTCATAATGTTTTCACATCATTAAAACATTAAAATAATGAAATAACGATTTCTTTTCATAAAACATTTTGAATATTTTTTCGTTGCTAACGCTAAAAGCACTTTTATAACTGTTTTAGCAAACGTTTTCACAACTTAAACTTTTCTTTTTCTCAAATGAATTTATAACTTTAAATTTGTTTTAGATTTGTTAAAATTCTTTTCTATCAACATTGGGCTATTAACTTTAAGAACAAAAAGTTTTAGTATTTTTGGGTTTAATTTAATATTTTTTTCAAAATTAAATAAAAAACTTTTATTATTATGCATATAGTTTTTAGCAAATGCTTTTACAAAATTAAATTAACAACATCCTCATAATTAATTTGTATTTATTACAGATTTGATAATATTAATAAACTTAAATAAATAAAAAAAATTTTATTTAATTTTGTTAAATGTTTGCTGTAAATGTTTTATGTAAAGAAGTCTCATTCACAAATCACCATTTATTGTTCATAGAAATTTGCATTCTAATTTCAACAGAATGACATAAGTTAACATAAAAAAAGGGTTTTTTAATTGAAGTATAACTTTAACATTTTACCTCAGTTGAAAAAACACAATTAAAGGTATGTGAATAGAGTTTATTTAGTTTTTAACAATAAGCGAACTTTTTTGTTTAATTAAAAAATAATCTTTAACAAAAACTTTTTGTAAAAAAATTTAATATAAAATCAAGTAAACCATTATTAGTTTTCTCCTTTTCAACTCTTTAGGACGAGCGCAATTTTTTACTCTCATAACTAAATTAGCGAGCGTTTTTTATTGCGCCTGCAATTTATATTCCATTAACAAGCGTGTTTTAAGTGACAGGAGCAATCACTCCCGCTCCATGCCAAGGCCTGGCTTAGTATCAGATAGCACTTTTTTACATCAATTTCTTGCAATAATAAATAGCTGTTTGTTCTAAAAAGAGTTGTTCTTTCAAAAAAGAAGAAAAAAATAATTATGATTAAATATAGCAGTTACACAAGAAAGTAAAAACCATGGAGTAGAATAAGGCTTGAATTTGAACCAACAAGAAGGAATAAAAGCTTCGATTCCTGCTTGACTCCAGGAGGTCACATAGGAGATGTATTTATCAGCTGAGAAAAAAATGACATCAGCCCTAGGACCGCCACGAAATTTACAAAAAGAATCCCAGTCAGAGTAGCAGGCTTGGCTAAGAAGGTGTCAAAGAATATAAACTATATTTTACTAACATAATCTATACACTCTAAAATGTTATTGAGCACAACCTTATGATTCAACATAATGATTTTACAAGATATATAATATTTACTAATACAAATACTAACCTTTTAACATCTTCAATCGATCCAACACATATAGCAATTGCTTTTTCTTTTTGTCTGTTTTTGATGTTATACAATTTCTCAACACCAGTCTTAGATTGGGCTAGAGCAGCCACTCCATAGATAGTATCTGTAGGAACTGCAATAACTTGATCATTATTTAATGAGCAGATAGCTTTTTCAACAACATATTCATCTAAAATATGTTTATTTTTACTTTAATTTACTCTTGTGTAAAAATAAAAGATAAAAACTAGACTTTTCTATTATACTATGTATATTATGAATAATGTATTCCTATATTGGGGCAAAAATAACTTAAATAAAAATAGAACCAGCAAAACCTATCTATAGTAATACATGGCAATGTATTAAATAATAAATTGCTTACTAAAAAAAAAAAGAAATACTTAATTATTTTAATTTTCTTTTCTTGTCAATGTTGAAATTCAAAATATTCTCTTTACTTATATGAATTTAATATAAATTGAATTATAAAAAAAATATTATTTCTATATTTATGTTAAGCTTGTTATATTTTCTTCTATGATAACTTGATCCATGATATTTAAATCAAAGAATTTTAAAAATGTTTACTAAAAATATAATGAAGTATTTTTAATAAAATCTATGTGTAGACTCTCAAGAACTCATGGGGTGCTTTTGTGAATTTTATGTTCATCTTTTAGGAAATTTGTGTACAGCTTCAGAAGTTTTTTTATTATTTATATAACTGAATTTTAAGTATGAACTATATGCAACAGTATAATAATAAAGTATGAGTATGAGAAAAATAATTTAGCTTTATTTAGATAGTAGCACTATGCATATTAAACTGTATCCATGAATGAGTTTTCTATATATACACATCCTCTTATTTCAACAAAAAACTAACGACCAAATAATTTTGGGTACAAATTTGATATTATAGCAACTTAAGAACAGAGCAAAAATCTCATAAGTATCTTTTTTTCTTTATTTTGTTAAACAACCATTTATCTATTATTGTTTTTTAGTTCAACTGTTTTAATTAAAACAAAAAAAAAATTGCAAACAATTGTTTTTTTTTAAAGCACTGATTAGTATTAGTGAAACGTCTTTAGCAAAATAACACTTTGTTTCTAATAGAGTTTTTATAGGTCTTTAGCAAATTAACAATTTATTTCCATATTTTTCCGTTTTAATTAGAACGAGGTAAACAAAAAATATTATTTTTTATTAACAGAAATAATAATCACGATTTATTACTTTTATCGTAATATATTATTAACTATTTTGACTAGCAATTACAGTGCTATTGGTTTTATAAAGGCTATAGTGATTATTATATAATACAACCTATTTTCGAGGATATACATACCGTTATCACCTTTCAGTTTGTAAATGCGTTCCATTTTAGGAGAAAAAGCCGGTTGTTTTTTACAGAGATATACTAATGTTGATAGTGAGCTACTACTATTATTGTGTATACGTTTGGTTACTTCATTAAATCCCAAGTTCAGAGTTGCTTTATATAATTTAGAAAATACTTATAAGTATTTCCTATTAATAATAGGAAAATTAATTTATTAATCTTATAATTTAAATGTAACGCTTAGATCCGTTACTGGTAAATTATATTTAAATATATACTAGTGTTGTTACGACTATTATTAAAGAATTCGGCTGTCGACTAAAATCGACTAATGCATTTTTGAAATCAACTAAGGAGCTGTTCAAATAATACGTGACATAAGTCATAAGGTAGGGAAGGGGTATTGAAAAGTGTCACCAAATATCACATGGGGGAGGGAGAGTGGTTTGATACAGTGTGACGTGACAAATAGCATTTTAAATAAAAATTTTTATCACTGCGTAATTTGTTAAAATTGTAAAATTAGAAGACATGAACAGAATAAACCATCTTCCTGCATTTAAAAGCAGCTTATTTACTGAAGATGGAGTTAGCAAACTAGTCATGATTATAACTGTTGGTGGTGGGCAAGATGAAAATCCAAGATATGAAAAAATAATTCATTGTGTCAAGACTTACTTCAAAGAGCGTGACTTTGATGAAATGTTTGTAGCCACTAATGCTTCTACAGAAGTACCTTTAAAAGGGTAGAGAGAAGAATAGCTCCGCTAAGCCATGAACTAGCAGGAATTATACTTCCATTTGATCGTTTCGAAGTCATTTTAATTCAAGAGGAGAAACAACAGACAACGTTATTGAGAATGCAAGTTTTGCCAAAGCTGGTGAAGTTGTACAAATTTGGTCTAGCACAGTCATTGATGGATTTGAAACTAAAGCCGAGTACATAAAACCAAACAGTTTAAAATGTGTACAGACAAAACATTATGGAGCAGAGTAGGATGCTAAACATGTCAGAGAAAGTCAATACCTCGTTCAAATTATAAAATGTAATGATCAAAACTGCTGCGGTTGTCTTCGCAGCTCACTGTTTCATTTTTTTCCAACTGGTTTTCTTCCACCACTAATTTCTTTGTTCCAAAGAGAAAATGGTCTTGAATGCAATAACACAAAGAACAACTTTGCATTCCTCCTTTTAAACTTATCACTTTGCAAAATAATTTTGCCCACGACAGTTACAAAAAAGTATCCTAATGGTTTGCCACACGACTACCTTATTAACCTTATTAGGCACCTTATTAAGTTACATCTTATTAACTACAAAAAAGAAAAGAATTATAACTAATTAAACTATCGATTATGTATTTCATTAATTTATTTTTCTTTTGTTTACTCGATGCTTTTAATTTTCATAAATACTTTCATACAGGGCCGCTTCAAGGCTTGGAGCCCTGGGGCAAAATTAAGTTGTGAACTTCCAAAATCAAAATGTTGTCAATACGATCACATTGTAAATATGATTGTAAAGACTTTGATATATAGCAAGTATTTAAGGCAGCCTCTAAATCATCGTGGTCTGGGAGTAAACTGTTATCGGAGCTGTCTTTCTCTCATAATATGTTGCTCCTTTAACATTTAAATATGATGTTAAAAAATAGTAATCAACAATGAATTACTTTATTATTTTTATGACAATTTATTTGAAGAAAACAAGTTATTATGAAGAGAATAAATTATTACTTACGGGCTGTTCAAATAATATATGATATTTTTTTTGCCGTTTTTATAAACTCCTCCTCTCCCCTATGTGACATTTTGTGGCATTTTGAAGAACCCGCACCACCCCCCTCCCTGTGTGACAAGACAAAGACAAAAAAAAAAATTATAAGTGTATATTTTATTTGTAATAGCTTGTTGTTCTAAAAAAAAAACACAACTGATGAATATCTGTCTAAAACCTAAATTTGTTTCCAAGTCAGACTTTAACCTTCCAATATTGGAGTTCCATGTTCTTTAGTAATTTTTAAAGACCAGTTGAGGTCAGAGATATCAACATCGTCCTGATCATATCACTCAATTGTTTGCTTGTCGGAATTTAAAAAGACACACATGAGTTCAAAAAGAAGTTAAGCAACAAGGCAATGAGGTCTAATTTTTGTAATCTTATTTGAATATTCAATACTTGAGCAAACTGTTTTGTGTTGTTTCATTGATTTGATAGTGGAAAAATATAAACTGCAATTGGTATTGGCAAGGAAGTTTGAATGCTTGGACATGAGTAATAAAGTATTAATAAACCTAATAAGGTGCTTCTAGAAGAGGGTGGAGCAATTTTCATAGCAAAAAAAAAAAAGTTTAAAAATCAATATTCCTGAGACACGAATCGATGTTTATTAATTATAAGATGAAAGTAAAAAAATATTTTTTGGTTTTGATAAGATCTTGAGGTTCCTCTTTGGATTCTAAATCCTGGACGGATCCTAATATTTTTGAATTTTTTTTTTCTAAACTATATCAACCTTGGACTCAAAAAAAGCAGAAAAAAATGCTTGTTTTATCAATAATAATTTTATTAAAAAAAAATTTTTAGTGAAAAAAGTATTTGCAAAAATATACCTTAAAACCGTTATACCGTTTTGACGAAGACGGGGGTTTTTTAATAAAAAAACGACATTATTTTTTTCTCTTCAGTTTTAAATTAAAACAAATATTATATTCAAAATAAGCGTATTATTCTGCTTCTTTTGAGTACTAGGTTAATATAGTTAAGAAGAAAAATAATTTCAACAATATTAGGATCCGTCATTAATTTAGAATCCAAAGAGGAACCTCTAAAACTCATTTATATTAAAAAAAAAAAAGTAAGGCTCTTTTTTCACCAAAAGACATCAATTCGCAGCTCAGGCTAATCAAATTTCGAAAATTTTTAAAATCGCTCCACCCTATTTTAGAAGTCTTTACGTTTCTTATTACAAAGCACCGGAAAGAGCCTAAATAATGCTAATATGCTATGAAATAGATAAAACATTAAGAAAATAAACAAAAAATAGGTAATAGTTATAATTAGAGATTTCATACCTCCTAAAATAGTCATTCACTATATACACTGCCACCAGCAAATAATAAGAAATTTTTTGCAAGTTCTGTTAGGATAATGTTTTGTGCTTGTTGACCAACACTTGTAAGGGTTTGTTGTCCAATTTAGGTAAACGCACAGAAGGCCAATAGGTGGACTAAAACTATAAAAATCCGTGTCTGAGCCGTAAATGATCTTAATGCAGCTAAAAATATGTAATTGACAAAGATAGGTCTCTTCTTTAACCTTTTAACTTTTCATGCTTGGATTAAAAGCATGGAATGTCTTAAAATTAATTATAAATTAATAGTGAAAAGTGGTCTAAAAGGACACTATTTGAAAAGAAAATTATCCAAGAACAAAAACAGAAAATTCAAATAAAGTTTCGTGATGAAGTTGGATTGGTAATTAATATGCTCATGTCTGTTAGATATATGTAATAATAATTATATTTTAAATGTTAATGTCCGTTGGACTGGTAATTGATATGCTAATGTTATCAAATCATGGAAACACTGCTAGAAGATTTTAGAATGCAGAGAAGTTTGCTCAAATTCTTAAACTTGATGTCAGTATGATAAAGATGTTACTTGTTATTTGTGTACATTGTCATCTAGCTTTTTAATTGACTCTTCGGTATTTAGAGAATACTGCTACAAAACAGTTGAAAAGTATGTAAATCTATATTCCTGGGATGAGGGCTGTATTTACCAAAGGGCTGACCGGTGCTGAAGCCCAGGGGCGGTTAGTGATAGGGGGCGGCCAGAAATGATGATGAAAAATAATTACACTGCCCAACAGTGATTTTGTATTGGAACTAAAATTAGTTATTTCTTATGTATTTCCACCTGCTAAATTCAAAAATGACATTAAAAATGATATATTAGCTCTAGTTTAAGAAATAAAAGCAAAAATTTTCTCTTAAGGGTATAAATTTTCATTTTCTAAAAAAAAAAAAAAATTTATTTTCCACTACCCATGTTTTATTAATGTTTAAAACTTGTAATATTAGTTATGTGCGTTTGCCAAAGTTTCTGGTCTAATCTATTCTTAGTATTTTTTTTTTCATTTACTAGTGCAATATTTGACAAATCAACATGCCAATGAAGTGTGTAACTTTAGTGGAGAATTTTGGTTACATTTGTGGTGAAATAACATTTTTCACACAGAAAAGAACCACGATACCTCTTATAAAGACTGTTTATCTGTATTAATTCAATATGAAGGTAGGGGGCCAGGATAAGTCATGGGCTCCACATATATGTTGTAGCTCTTGTTCGGGTACACTATTTTATTTTTCAACCATTCGAGAATGGTTGAAAAATAAAATAAAATCTTTGGCTTTTGCTGTTCCTATGGTATGGAGGGAGCCTAAAAACTATACAGATGACTGCTATTTCCGCTTGACCCCACCCATTAAGGCAGGTTTGTCAATGAAGAAAATAGGAACAGTTAAATATCCAAATCTTCCATCTGCCATTCAACATATTTCACATTCAAATAGTTTACCAGTACCTACTCCACCACAAAGTTGTGAGTTAGAAGCACAAAATATTTATTCTAGACAGATTTAATTTGTTTATTCCTAAAGTTTAATAAATTCTCTACTTAATTACTACCAAATAAGAGCTAATGTAATTTTTTGAAAGTTATCACGTTATAAAGTTAAAAAAAAACACACAAAAATTTCGAAAAAAATAATTCAATAATGTTAGTTCATTAATAAAACAGCGTTAGCATTTACACTGCTAAAGTTAACTCGTTGAAGTTGTATTAGTATTTAGCAAAATAGTTACAAGTCTTTCGTTCAAAAACATTCTTATTATCCGTTAAATGAGTAATCTTTTGGAGTTGATTTTTGTTATTGTTATTTATAAAAACAATGACATAAAACGCTTTGTATTTCTTGTTGTTAAACAAAGCGTTTTAAAACCAACGTATTACATTGGTTTTTAACACGCGAATTTTAACACACGAAACACATTTTAATTACTCAAATTTTAATGTGACGTTAAAATTCGCGGCCGCCATACTGTATGGCAAATAAAGTAAACAAAGTGAGCGTTTATTAGTATAACGTATT